ACATGTCTCCACATGTCTCCACATGTCCCTACATGTCTCCACATGTCCCTACATGTCCCCACATGTCTCTACATGTTATCAAATTAAAGATTGATCAGCTGATGGTGACAGACTTTAAACTATATTTAGATTTTTGCTCGAGGCTATTTTTAAATTCCATATTCTCTCAAACTTTTGAGCTCTTTAACCGGAGTAGATGTTCCACAATCCAGACAATGACGGCGTTAACATGCTGAAGTTTAGCACGTAATGTTTAAAGTGTTCACTGTCTTAGCTTAGCTTGTTAGCATGTTGCTAACTATCAGTAAACAGAGTCCAGCTGAGGCTTAAGTATTTGGTCATAAACAGAAGTAGTGGACACATTAAAGAGTCGACCTGATGGTGGCGCTAGATGACAAGTTAGAGGATAAATAAAGTTATTACAATTCATCCTCAGGGGAACATGAATGATGAACCACATGTCATCACAATCTATCGAACAGTTGTTGAGATATTTCACTGAAAACCACAGATATCAACCTCGTGGTGGCGCTGGTCTCTTCAGAAAATGATATTTTATTGTGAACATCGAGCAGACTTGTGTATTCACGTTTTAAAGTCCTCAGACATTCACTCACATTCCACGAGACACTCTTTATCTTCCGTATGGTCGGATATTCATTCAGAGTGAATTCATAATGAGGACGTCTCCATTATTGTTATTCAAAGAACATCTTAGCACGGATTTATATCAACATTTCATCTTTCTTCTTCTCTTCTATTGATATCTAATAGTTCATAAGCCTCCTGCACATAGTTCAAACTTCTTCTTAAGTTCTTTCTGTCTTTTAATATGTTCAAATATATCAATAAATTAAATAAATAGTGGTAAACTATATACTGTTCACTCTGCTATAGATGAAGGAACTGTACCGATCCTTTTGATTCCTCACGTCCACCAACCCCCACGATGTCCTTCAGAAAGGACAAACCGAGACTCTGACGTACAGGTCAAGAAGAAACGTCTCAACGAGAGCGACAGAGGAAGAGAGAGCGAGTGAACATGCGCCCCCTGCAGGGGAGTTAAAGGAACATCTCACATGAATCCAGTTAAGTCTCAGTAAAAAACACTTTTTTCAGTAAGTAAATTAAGTATAGTGAAATAATAAGAACATAACACGTCTCTTGCTGTAGTTTATTGCACTTTGTTTACATTTGTTTACACTACTTGTACTCTATCATTGAGCTACATGTTCTCTCCTCTTCATGTTCCTTCTTTTAGTTTTGCACAGCGACCAGACTGCAGTGTGTGGAAAACAAGAACTTTATCTTAACTTACTCTTTTTTTCTTTGAAAGGCTTGGTGAACGACATACATGTATTATTATATTATGGAGACTCCCGTATAAATATAGTGTAGTATCTTTACTGATGCAGATGTCAGGTTTGTGCAACATTTACTTCATAATGACACGTTATTCTATTGTTAAGGTGAATTTGCAGCGACACCTGACGGAGTAAATGCAGCATTGTGTTATTAACTGCAGAACCTACTACAGTACAGTGCAGTACATCTAGTACTCTGTTCACACAAAACAAAGTATGAAGCTGCAGAAGCATCGTAGACGTCACTTCATCAGAGCAAAGTGTGAATCAGACTGAACAGAAAGAAAAGATTATCATTCGTATAAAAACAGTCAAGCTGCGATCATTTCCTCTCGTGCACAAAACATGACGCTCAGTGTGTGGGTCATTTGGGATGATTTTTGCGAGTGAGCAGAGCGTGTTTACACCACAGGACCGATTCTGTCTGCTCTACTCGAAACGTTCAGGACCAAATATAAAGTTACGCACTTCTAAAACTTCCCAAACCTCTGACCCCATCAGGAGAGTCTTCAGAGAAGTTAAATCTACCGGAACAATACTTCTTCACCCAAAAACTAAGAAGGATGACGAACGTGGTCCTCGTGTACTTACCACACGGCCTCTGGAACATAAACTAGTCTCACCTCGCTCCGTAGACGTAGAAGCAGTAGATGTGGAAGGTGAGCAGGGCGACCATGTCAGAGAGCAGCGAGAGGGCAAAGGTCAGGCCGAAGCAGGCCGACAGGCCTCCGTACCACAGGATCCCCTCGATGAAGGGGGACATCAGGTGGATGTAGCCTGGAGGGAGACACGAGGGAGAAAGGAGGCATGAATGTGGATGAAGCCTCTAGCTGAGCTCTGTGTTCTGTGCTCTGTGCTCTGCGTGCTGTGTTCTGTGTTGCGACTCACTGATCCACAGGTGAATGTGATAGAGGAAGAAGCGACCCAGGACCTGGTCCAGGGCCCGGTTCATCTTCAGCCCAGCAGGAGCTCCCATCAGCCACTGCAGCAGCTCCTCCAGCTCTTTAGCCACATGCTGAGGAAGAACCACACCAGTCGATGTAGTTAGTTCAGCTGTCAGCAGACTGTGTGCTAACAAGTTATATATTTTCATCAATCTACAATTTCCAAAAGCTAATTATGAAACATCAAGGTCAATAATTACTTTAACTAAACATAAACTTTCTGGCAGAAACAAAATCCTTTAAACACTGTGAAGCCTCTTTGAAGCCAGAAGTGGACAAAGTTTTGGACAAATATAAGTATTTTAATATTAATAAATTATTGCTTTGTTTCACTAATATTTTATTTTGAAAGAATGAGTTTAATTTTATCATCTTGATGTTATTTGTTCTGTTTGTAATCAGTTTGAAAAGAGGGCTCGATTTAAAGATGATATATTTATTATTATTATTATTATATTATATTATTGATCTCAGTAATGAACTCGTACATCAGCTGCAGGAACCAGAGTGTTGGCCAACATGGAGATGTGGTCGTCTCTGTAGAGCCACCACATGAGCAACATGCCGAGAGACACGTCCACCAGGAACGACGCCACCATGTTCGCTTTCCTGCAGACAGACAGGCAGACAGAGAGAGAGACAGAGAGACAGACAGAGAGAGAGACAGAGAGACAGAGAGAGAGAGAGACAGAGAGACAGACAGAGAGACAGACAGAGAGAGACAGAGAGACAGACAGACAGAGAGAGAGACAGAGAGACAGAGAGAGAGAGACAGAGAGACAGACAGAGAGACAGATAGACAGAGAGACAGACAGACAGAGAGAGAGACAGAGAGACAGACAGA